TATTATTATTATTAATATTATTATTATTATTATTAATATTATTATTATTATTATTATTATTATTATTATTATTTTTATTATCATTATAGATAATATGCACGCTAATGAAGTGAGGCAACGCCCCTTTCACCGCTCGCGTTCAATGTTCCGTAGAAATGTAACAACCAGGTAGGCCTAAGTGATGGTCTTAACATGATGTTTAGTTTAACGATTGTGTCTCATGCTGTGAGATATAATTTAGATTATTTCGATGACATTTAAGATCTTAATGGGTTCCTCTCTCGGGACACCGGGCACCGGTTGAGAGGGACATTTTTCCCCCAAGAAGAGCGAAAGAAAAACTAGGGCCACATAATTTACTAATTTACATCTATGTTTGAACCCTAGACTTCAGCTGTCTGGTTGAGTTCGACGGACAACATGTACTGCAGTCCCTTGATTGATTTTTCTATTATTTATTTGTATAGGTCATTTTTATGCCAATCTCCGAAATGGCTGGTGCTCTGGTGGGTTTGCTCCTTCTTTCCTATAAAAAAAAAATCTATCGTCTATATCTCCCCTCCTTCTTTTTTGGGCTTGTTACTCTCTTGTAACACCTCTAATCTTCGACACTTTTTCTTACATGCATTTATGTAAAGCGCCTAGAGCTGTGTTTACACGGGAGTGGGCGCTATAGAAATGATCTTCATTATTATCATTATTATTATATAACCCTAGTTGCAAGTGCCGTAAACTCCTGCTAAAACTAAACGAAAGGACGGGCCCTGTTGGTGGAAAGCCACGAAAACTACCTTAACAACCTGAGTTCAAGAATACCCCGTTCGGGGTTGAAAACACTGTCATTGTCATCCGCATGGTAGCCCTGCATAATAATACCAATTTTACTAACAGCTCTACTGACGTGATCAGAAGTCTATACAGTGGGCTTCTCGCCCGCTCTAATAAGATTAAACATAATCTAACATTATTGCTGAACTGCGCAACTGTTCATTTTTCCTTTGCACTTTATAGCGCAACTGTTCATTTCTCCTTTGCAATTTATAGCGCAACTGTTCATTTCTCCTTTGCACTTATAAGCGCAACTGTTCATTTCTCCTTTGCACTTTGTAGCGCAACTGTTCATTTCTCCTTTGCACTTTATATAACGTTACTTTGTTGTCCAGATTTACGGAGACGTGCCATGTCCATTTCGCCTTGGAAAGTTTTTGACCACTCTATAAGATCACACACGCACGCACACATACACATGGTAAGCAGTGCTTAAAGTGACATTACCAGCATTAACAAACTCAACATGGTGGCCTGAAACAAATCAGAATGAGGTTAATTTTTCAATATTTCAGTCGAAGAAATCAAAACTGATGAACAATGACATAGGCTACAAATCAGTCGAATACAAACATTCTTCCATGTCTATTCAAGGAACTCATTCCCAGAGGTCACGTCGAAATTCTTCCAATCATACCATGACCAGCTCACTCATCTTCCCTCGCACACATGAGCACATTCACATGGATACTTATGATCTGTCTCTCTCTTTCTCTATCCCCCTCTCTCTCTCTCTCTCTCTCTCTCTCTCTCTCTCTCTCTCTCTCTCTCTCTACCTCTCTCTCGACCTCTCTCTCTACCTCTCTCTCGACCTCTCTCTCTCTCTCTCTCTCGACCTATCTCTCTCTCTCTCTCTCTCTCTCTCTCTCTCATCTTTATCTCTCTTTATCTCTATCTATAACATTATGTCTATCTATCTCATTCTACGTACATGCAGGCATGTGCGAGCGAGCACGCACAAACAAACAAACAAACACACACACACACGCACACGCACGCGCGCACACACACACACACACACACACACACACACACACACACACACACATACTTTTGTTCAATAGCTCATGCTCCAGAATAAGTAGGCACCTATCGGCCTAGCCCAAGGAGATTAGTTCTAAACTCCTTAGCCTAGCCTGAGAAGAGTTTAAACGAAAGGGGAGGACGGGGCAAATAACTCTTACCATAATTCTATGTGAATCTCTAAGCAAAGTGATAACATAATAGCTTCTTTCTGATAAGATGGAAAAACCACTGATGTCCTCACTCGAATACAAAACACGCACACTCAGCTAATTGCCAATACTCTCAGACAATAGCTTTGTTATAGAGTGCTTTGCAGACTACGTCAGAATTAATCTAACTTTTACCTCAACTGTCATAATTTTTATCGAAGGGAGAAAAAATGATTTCAAAATTAGTATTCCCAATTCTCGGTGCAAATGTTCCTCGTTTACAAAGGGATAAAGAGATTGTAACGAAGTCAACCTTTTAAGTGTAACAAGAATCTAATGCTTTAAAATGTTTTCGCTCTTGTCTCAGGGGATATACAAAATATTATTTGTGAGGTGGAATCAGGCTCTCGTCAATTTTTGGGCATGTAGAGTCATTGGTGTCATCTTAAAGCATGTTCACTTGTCTTTATTTCAATGAAAAAAAATCCATTTATCTTGAATACAAGTCGAGATATTTGCCAATGAAGGAGGTGGGGGTCACCTGTTTTCAGAGGTAAAATTAGTGAGAAAATGGCCACCAAAAAGTAGTTCTTTCCTTAGCTTAACAGTCCGTGGGAACTGAAAATTTACATTTTATGTGTCTTTAATCAACGTTTTTAAGAAAAATCCACACAGAAATGAGTTCTTTAATGTACATGAAAGGTGTTGAGCCAAAAAACAAAAATTTGATAAAAATTCACAAACCTGCGGAAAAATGCAAGTTTCTTGACTTTGATAATTTTGACGAGAGCCTGATTCCACCACGCTGCATCACATTTGTAAAACAATTAAGAGGTTTGATCACTGCTACTGACTGGCAGTAACAATTTGCTTTGTGATTACTATACAAATGTGTTAAATATTACACTAAGCAAGGCCATTTATCACGCTGAAAGATTTATATATCAATACACGATGTATTTAGAAGGTCAATACATGATGTATTTAGAAGGTAATGTCAATTAATTCAGCTGTAAACACAGCATTTTTTTTTCTTTCGTAGATCGCTGATCTCGGTCCCAAAAGCTAATCACAAAGAATAACTCCAAGGGTAATGGACTGGCTAAAAGAAGATTATCAACAGATCACAGACCATTGCAATTAATTCTGGGAGTGACATTTTGGGAGGGAACAGAGCATGGGAATACAAAATATTGCTGAGATTGAAGCAAGACAGAGGTTCACGTAGAGACTATTTAGAGGGAAAGATATTGCTGAGACTGAAGCAAGAGAGAGGTTCACATAGAGACTATTTAGAGGGAAAGATATTCATGCTGGGGTACGGAGAAGAGTCCAAACTGAATTCCTAGAATGTGACTTTTGTTTGAATTAAGGACCAAAACAATTCATTTACATTGAAAAAATAATTTACACCTCTGCAAAATATATGTATAGATAACTAAAAATAGTTTGTTTTTTTTTAAAAGCTACAAAAAAAAACATGTAAGTACACCGATAAAACTTAACCGATATATTATGCAATGTGATATTCTGCAATATTTTAGTAAAGGGAACAGTTCCTATTATTAACCTACAGTAGAAAATATAACCAAACCCAGCAAGTAAAAGTCTACACAGAATTTCAATTTTTTTTTTAAAGCACAGACACAATGTACATTATGAGAATCATCCCAGAGAAAGGAGTGATACATGGTGCTTGAGAAAATTATAGATAAATTGTCAACTTGCTTCGAGTAGTAAGCTTCTTGCGTTTATAAAAATCTGCTGGCAAAGGACAATAATCGATGGCTCCCGGACCAGTTGCAACGGTCACAGCTGTGAGAAAGGCCAATGGCATGTGCAGACAAATCATATGTAATATATTAATGCATAAAACATCAAACACCTTAAGTATTATCAAAATTAGTTTGGAAAAAGCTTTCTGTGATGCTTCATCAAGGACTAAATGAACAGACAGACATTGTGGTCCCTTTAAGGTAAAACCCTTCAATAAGAGATTTCCATTTTGCCTCAGTAAAATAAAACGTCAAGCACAATGGCATAATACACAAGGGAGATACTGTCATCAAAGCCTGAAATACTCTACTGAAACTATTTACAATATGTGAGGCAGCGTGATGGAATCAGGCTCTCGTCAAAATAATCAAAGTGAAGAAACTTGCATTTTCCCGCAGGTTTGTGAATTTTTATCAAATTTTCGTTTTTTGGCTCAACACCTTTCATGCCCATTAAAGAACTCATTTCTGTGTGAATTTTTCTTTAAAACATTGATTAAACTCACAAAAAATGTAAATTTTTAGTTACCATGGACTCTTAAGCTAAGGGAATAACCAATCTTTGGCGGCCATTTTCTCACTAATTTTACCTCTGAAAACAGGTGACCCCACCTCCTTCATTCGCAAATATATCGACTTGTATTTAAGATAAATGGATATTTTTTCCATCCAAGTAAAAACAAGTGAACAAGCTTTAAGATGACACCAATAACTCTACATTCCCAAAAATTGACGAGAGCCTGATACCACCACGCTGCCTCACATATACACCGGCGAGGATTCAAAGATAAACAACATAGTAGGCCTATATGGGAAGTAAGTAGCACTATGACGCAACATTTGACATTTTTAAAAAAACAACAACAAAAAAACACAGCAAGACTTAGTTGGGGGTTTTTCATTTTAAAATTATATTCAGGAAAGACACAAAGTTGTGAAGAAAGTCATTTGTGCTCTTTAAAGGAATGAAACTATTACACAAAGAGTCTGAATTCTCAGGGCTAAAGGAAACAGTTACTGGCTGAAACAGTCACGCAGTAAAACAGAGTTTCAAAAAGATGAGTAGAAATAATGTGTCACAATATAAAAGTGTAAGATGTTAGTACAACATTTAGATAAAAACATGTGAATTACAGCAAGTTCTCCGAAACTTTAAAAAACACAGCTAAACAGAGGTACTTTTTTTGAGTGCATGAATACTGTTGTTGTGGTTGAAGAACTTAATCTTAAGGTGGGGTGTTCATTTATTCCACTAGACAGGCTACCACATTCAGGTTGAGGCTTCAAGTCCAACAGGTAGTTGTACATATGTAAAACAGGAATCAGTGCTATCAAATGTTGACCACTACATGACATGATTGATATTCCCAAGGTAATTTGTTCATAACAATTACAAGTGTCGCAGAACAGCGACCTTACTCGAAGTGAAAGGAAATAACTATGCAACTTATTTAAAACTCTGTCCAAAAAAAAATGATGATTTAAGTGTTCGAAGAGTCCCATTTCAACTGCTCAAGATTCCTTTATGCACTATTTTCAAAATAGCGTACGGCATAGAGTCTTACACTAAGTAGCTGATTTCCATTCTTATCAAGGTCAAAATAACTGTCCAGAACTTTTCAAGCAAAGTTTTGTTATTTTGAGAGTTATTTCCTTCTAGAATTATTCGACTGTGAGTGTGACATAGAAAAAACAATGATCAATCAGGGGAGACCAAAAGGGGTAAACTTTTTAAAATTTAACCACAATGGCCACTATCGTTATGTTCATCCTGCTGTGAGGGGGAAAAAAAAGATGAGTAATGACATGCCTTAGTTTCTTTCCTTACCTGTGTCCTTTTCATTTTCTGGTTCCTGGTAGTAAAAGAGAAGCCTGTTGCAACCATTCACTCCCAGAAATTTTTCCATTGTCTCAATCTGGAAAATAAAAGAATATTATATTTCAATATCAACATAAGCGTAATTTAAAAACAAGTACAACTGTATAACTAAATAATCCTTTCCTTGCACCCCCTGTAAGTTACATTTTCCCATAAGCCACATGCAGTATCATTGCACTACATGAAATATAAACAAATGAAGTACAAATGCTACCAAATGCATTAATGGAACATTGTCTAATAATAGCCACACACCCACGCCCATGTTCAAGCGAGCAAGCATGCGCGCGCGCGCACACACACACACACA